CCAAAAACATCCAATTCTCAGACCATGGAATAAATTAGTGAATATATTTAATATCATAAATTTTATATAAATAAAAAAATTAATTATTTAAATAATATATCAAATTATATCAAAAAATAATATAAAAAAATTATGGTAAAATCATTTTTCTAACTCTTAAGTCAAGTGAATGGCGAAGTTTCTAGGTTCTTTTCAGAAATAATGAGTGAATGCCAAAGCCCAAAAACATCCAATTCTCAGACCATGGAATAGAAGAGCTCTTTTGGATCTAATGTTGAATAAACCCACTCCACAAAATGAAATGGGCCTCTATGCCCATTGGATCATACACCTCTAGGAAGGTAAAGACATTATAAACAAAATTCTTGACTGCGACCAATATTCAGTAACACATGTAACAGGTTTTAACTTTTAGCAATCATACGGCAAAATGTTTTCCACAACAAGGCAAACCACTCTTTATTGCCTACTTGAAGATTGAGGAGTGAACTCCATTTCAATGTTTGAAGCTAGACTAATAAATATTGTATCAAACAAATCATGAATTTTATATTATGACAATGAAAAACTAACTTAAATTATTAATGTATGATTAAATTAATGATATAGATATATAATAATAACTTCACCAATTAAGGTGCTAGGTCTAAAATTATGAATCTATTTTTCAATTGGATTTTTAGAAGAGATTTAAACACATTTATCTTATCAATTAAATTTCAAGTTGTTAGATTTTTGTAATGTGATTTTTTAATTTTTTATACCTTAATCATTTTCTTCATTCTTTCTTCATTCCAACCAAGCTGAATTCATTCCGCTAAAAGAGCAAAACGAACTAGTGATGCATCAAATACCAATTTTAAAAAGAAAAATGGTAGAAAGAGGTCCTTATTAATGACCCAAATGTATATGCTTAGTACTTACACAACAAGGATTCCAAAAGATTGGCTTGAACAATACAATAAGCCATGAGAAATAAATTAATCATAGTTTTCTCCAATAAGAATCAAAACACTTACCAAATTCAAATCCACCTAGACAAGCCATTGTTCTTCTTAATGTTTGCTTCCAGAATTTGGCATAGATAGATATATAGGAAACGAAGGATGCCTCACAACAATCAAGTAACATCAACCTTCAACTTCTAGCGCATTGCAGCAAAGGGGTTCCTCTTCCATTGCAGAGGTTGGTATGTCTTCTCTGTTTGCTCAAATTTAGTCCATGGAAACTTGTGCTTTGCCATCCTTCTCTTCCTTGCCGCTACTCCGAGGAAGTCTCCAGCATTCTGAAAGTAAATTCAGAGAAAATAGTTAGTTTATGATGAATTTAAAAAGAGTATCTCAATGCTAGGGAGGGAGCATTTTAGTACCTTAAGGCAGAGTCCCTCTTCCACATCACAGATGGGGTAATCACCTGGGCAGCAGTATTCAGTTCCAGTGCAGCAAACAGCATTCTCATAGGGGCAGCAGCCATATAACAGGCAGTAATCAAAAATTTCATAGATGCAACAGCATGTCTCATCACTTGGACAATAGGAGTAGTCTCCACATTCACTTGGTGAAGGGGAAGGAGGAGGTGGTGAGGGTGGTGGTGGTGGTGGGGATGGGGTGGAAGGCGAGGGTGGTGGCGGTGGAGTCCCACTGGGTGATGGATAGGGTGAAGGTGAAGAGGATTCCTTGGTGGGGTAAGAGGCCATGGCATTGATGGCACAAACACCATATTCTAAATCGGTGTTCCTTCTAATTAGGAAATATCCATCTATTCCCCAGCTTGTTCCCCATGAATTCTTCACTATCCAATAATCCTCACCATCTTCTGATCCATAACCAACAATTAAAACAGCATGATCAATGTCATCTGGATTGTCCGAGCAGCTCCCATCATAAATTCCCTAATCACATCATATAAATCCATTTTACCAATCACATCACTCAGCAAGCAGAATCATTAATAGTATTTTTGTCTTTTTATGCCTGGATTGACATTAAAATTAGCCGGCCCGAACTAGGAAACAGTATTTTGAAAACAAAAAAAAAAAAAAATAAGATTCTGATATTAATACTTATAATGAACGAAGATGTATACTCACCCCTGTATACAGTTGAAAATCAATTGCAGAACCATCCATACCAACACTAATGGGTTGCTGAGCAACAGCACACAACAGAGCACTGTCTGATGCATCTACATCTGTGTAGCCATCAATAGAAACAATTTTTCTTTCCTCCTAATCAAACAAAAGCATAATGGATCATTAAGACAGACTAGGAGAATTCTAGGAACATCAAGGAGTTTTACAGAACCAGACCTTAGTGGTGTTGCAAGTCCCACTTTCACCATCAACGGATGTGTAGGGATAATCAGCTTCGGTGTCGATCCCACCATTGTTTATGACCCATTCAAAGGCATAGTCCATGTATCCTCCTTCACATCCATAGTTGGTAGTGTCACAATCCACAAGCTCTTGTTCTGAAAGACTAATAAGGTCTCCTGTAACTAGGGCGTTTATTCCTTCCATGGCTCCAGTTGAGGAGAATGCCCAACAACTTCCTGCAATGTACAACCACAGGTACAAGTTATAGAATCTATACACTTAGCTTAAAAGCAAACCTTCCTAAGAATCTTGTTTCAACTATCTGACTTTTTTCCTTCGGGGTTTTGTTTTGAAGAACTAGGACAATGGATACCATTCTTGAGTCTTCCCCTAACAATTTAAGTTCGAGTCCCCATGTTGCACTTTACCTGATAGTTTAAGCATTTAGATGAAACAGTTCTTTTCATACTGTC